AGCATCCCCTTAATAGGTCTTTTTAATCTCACACATATGCGAGAATATATAAACAAGATAAAAATATAGCCCACCCGAATTTTGACAAATAAGAAGAAATCAACTTATTTCGTACATCACCTTCCTTACATACTCCATCAAAGTGGCTAATATTCACCACATAACTCGGTGTATTCAGTTTTCCTTCGATGGGCCAGATTGGACCTACCTTTGGTCGCTCCTGGCCATGCAGTCTGGTCATTTTAACCAGAGATCAGGAAGGAAGAAAACTTCTTCCATAGTCGGTTTACTATCGTGACCGACAAGTTTTGTACGGTTCGGATTATATGCGAGCGTCGATTGTATCGAAATGCACGACCAAGGCAAGTTAATTAAAGAAAAAAATTCATTAAAAACATTTTTGTATAAAACTAATCAAATATATTTTGACTTCCGTTACTTATTCAAGAATAGATAACTGTTTCTTCGTGATTCAATCTTTAAATTTGAAATTTAAGTATATATGTATATAGAAAAAATCAATTTACTTCGCGTTATATTTATTTTAATTACATTCCGCGATAAATTTGAATGTATAATATGGATGAAATTAAACAATTAATTATTTCTTGAAAATTGTTTAAAAAACTGATCGCGAAGACCGACCGCGAAAATACGAAGATGCGTGTAACTATGCATATATTCATGCGAGACGCATCTTGAAAGTGTCGCGAGATACACATACAGAATAAATGACGTGAGATCCTGAGAAAAGAAACTTTCTGTACGATAGATAGACGGACAATTGAATATTCTAGTTATTCAATAAACTCAAATAATGTGTGAAAATATAAAGTTTTAGCGTTCTCGACAAAATATTAGAATCTCACGTCATATTATTTTATTTTATATATAAATTTGTTAATGAAAAATGGATAGGCTACAAGAGATTAGCTCGACGAATGCATCAATAATATTCGTCATATTTTGCGTGAAAATATCTGATGTGCTGTAACGGGACACATCCACAGTTAAAATCGCGATCACTCCTTTTCGTTATGAAATATATAAAAATAAATACGAAATTATGTTGTACTCTATTCATTTTAAGGCAACGGATCTACGAGATACAATATACTAATCTACAATCTACGATCTACAAGATGTAGAATCGTTGCCTGAATAAAAAAAGTTTCTGACTCACCACCCGATGCGCAGCAACGGAGTTAGCTATGTTGAATCTGTAACATACAAATATAGAATGTATTAAAGCAGTGTTGAAGAAAATTAGTATTGTAAAATATAAATAATTCTTATGCGTATTAAACGTTTTATTCAGTTAGATATTGAAATGATTAATGTGCAAAAGATTTTCCGCATTAGTTACCATTATATTAACTCAATTTTTTTAATTACAAGAATGAATACTATTTTTATAGAACTTCTGCGCATTGTTCATTATATCTTCATCGTTATTTTCAGGACAAATATAAAAGTTTCCTGAATACTGTCAAATTTAAATATTTAGATGATATATAAATATATTACTGTACAGTATATCGCAATTCATACAAGTACTTGTTTAAATATTGCTTCATAATAAGCGAAAAAATTCACGCTTTACGACTACGAAGAACGGGTTGCATACTACTGGGTTATAAAGATAAATATAACGCAAAGCTATACCTTTCTTGTGCTAATCCGACTAATCAGCGACGTGTTAGAACAGTAAGAATAGTAGGTAAAAATAGTTTTGACCTTCTTAATTTTTATAGCAATCCCCTTATCTGCATTCTAGTCACGTGTTACGACTTCTTATGACGGGATAAAGGTCGTGAAAATATTCTTAGCAACATTTCATTATTCACAGTAACAAACGTTACAATGCCATGCACGTACGCAAAACAGTACATTTCATTAATAGTCTCATCAAATACAAAAGATATATTTTATATGATCAAGCATGATGAAGACACGCATATGTACTTCCATATGCGCAAATATAATTATACGTGCGTTTGGATCAGTAAATTTAAAACAGGATAAACCAAATATCACTAGATAAGATATAACACACGTCTTCTTTGAGAAAATAACTTTTTAAATTCTCAATTAAAGTCATAAAAATTAATTTGACGATACGATTATTTTAAATATGTCAATTGCGAAGAAATATTGAAGGATTTTCAGTTATACAGAGTACAAATGTTTTTAAATTGTTGATACGGAGTATCACTAGTCACACATTTATGATGATCGTTGCCTTCCGTTTGAAAAATTAAATGAAAAAGTTAACTCTTTTTTATAAAATTTGAATTAAACTAACTAAATTTTTTTTCAAAATTTCCACCATCAATATGTGACAAAAGATTTGAATCTACTTTGTCAACCTTTTTACTTAATTTCATGATATAAAGAAGATTTAAGAGATCTAAAAGTGGAACACATCTGTGACGATAAAGCGTATTTGCATGTCACACATTGTATTGTCTCTAGAATATCTAATACATAAGATAAGGAACGTATGCAATCAGTGAAAAAAATTCCACAACGTGAGTAATATGTTAGTACATGGTTTCGTCACGTTTGTATTTTTAAGAATATACATCTCTCGACTATATAAATGAGCAGAAAATTTATTCTAGACTATAACGGTTGCGAGAGTGTATGACAAAGTACATCTAAGAATCCAAGAGTAACGTTTCCAGTTGTATTGTATAAGTGACGTTGAAAATATAGCAAAACAAAATGTTACGTTTAAGTATTTGGATTGGATTATCGATTTTGTATGGAACTATTTTGGCACAGGTAACGTAAATTTGTAATATTTCTCAATTGATGGCTGTTAAGAAGACAAATTGTGAACATGTTCTTGTTAAATAGCAAGTACTTGAGAATAATTTATGTAGCTATAATGTTTCTACGCACTACAATACTATACAGTATATACTAATTAGATTCGTAAAACTTACGTTTCCGTAATAATTATTATATGTAATTATGTAATTATTCTACTTTTTAACATAAAAATAAGATTATTAGATTCCTGTATTATTAATACGGATATTAGATTTAATTTTCAAATTAAAGAAACATATTTTGCTTACAATATAAATTTTATTGGATACGTATTATGTATTATCCGAATGAAATATATTGGTTCAATCAGATTATCAATTTAAATTTTCTAAACATAAATATATATAATAAAAAACTTTATGTACAATTTTAATATAATAATTAATAACTTGTAATGTATAATTAAAAAATTTAAAATAATTATTTTATTTTGTTTAAGAAAAAGATTACCTTTATAAAAATTATATAATATTCATGTAATAATTAGAGAAGTATTTGACAAAATTAAAATTGAGAAAGAGAGAGAGAGAGAGAGAGATGTATAATTATTAATAGATAATATATATATTATTTAGGATATATTGCCGCATGGCGAATTGCAACGTTACATCTCACACGTAACTGATCAAACTTCACGAAACGGAAGATTTGGCTTCTCTGCTCTGGAGCGACTACGTAAAAGTTTTTGCGACTCGTTTTGCAAATCTGCAGATACTATGCCGTATGTCTTAAATCTCTTGTGTGCTGCAAAATGTCCGGATTTATATTTACCGCATGGAACGACAACGGAAAGTATACCATCGATGTCAACGACTTCAGGTAATAAATAAGGAGTTTTGAAAAAAAAATCATGGCCAATTAATTTTGCAAAATATGCTAATTGTTGCTAATTTTACAAAAATATTTTATAAATAATATTATTAAAAAACTCAATGAAATCAAAATATTCAATTTAAAATAATTTTAATAATGTTAATATAATATAATTGATAATGATTTTTAAGAAAGAACGTTTTGATTGATTAATTAATTAATTATCGCTAATCTCTCTAATCACAATACAACACCATCAACTATAGTAAGTACTATTGTGCTTATAGCTACTACAACGACACCATTACCAATGTCGCTAAGTGGTCCCGGCCAACAACAGAATCCAACATCAGCAACTGGACCAAATTCGGCCCCAGCCTCTGTGCCCGTACCAAATCCGGCACCAGCCTCTGCGCCCGCATCAACTCCGGCACCAGCCTCTGCGCCCACATCAACTCCGGCACCAGCCTCTGCGCCCACATCAACTCCGGCACCAGCCTCTGCGCCCACATCAACTCCGGCACCAGCCTCTGCGCCCACATCAACTCCGGCACCAGCCTCTGCGCCCACATCAACTCCGGCACCAGCCTCTGCGCCCACAACAACTCCGGCACCAGTCTCTGCGCCCACACTAACTCCGGCACCAGCCTCTGCGCCCACAACAACTCCGGCAGTAGGGTGACCAACTCTTAAACATTTAATTTCGGGACATCAGTTTCCGAAAATCGGGACAGAACCAAAAAAATCAGGACTTTTATTAGTACATCAGATTACCTTGTAATATGCATGTACATGTCCCTTCTTGTTTATTTTACATATATGATATATCTTGACATATTATCTTTTTTAAATAGGTATGTTGAATAAATTAGATACACGTAGATAAGGCAAATGTTTCTTCATTATTAAGTCAACATCGAACATTCGACAGAACATAGTCTTTTACTATTTTTCAAATATAAATAATCATTAATCTATTATAAATTAGACTAATAAAATTCTTAAAATAAAATGAAAGAACAATCATCAATGGAACATAAAAGCAGGAACATAAAATATAAAGGTTATAATGAAATTTAGTTAATGAATATATGACGTATTATTATATTTTATATTATTTATCTTACATTATATAAAAAATCGGGACAAATGGCGTCCCGCCTAAGGTTCTCTCGGGACAGCTCTAAAGAGAGTCGAAAATCGGGATGTCCCGAAAAATTCGGGACGGTTAGTCACCCTAGGCACCAGCCTCTGTGCGCCCGCACCAACTCCGGCACCAGCCTCTGCGCCCGCACCAACTCCGGCACCAGCCTCTGCGCCCGCACCAACTTCGGCCCCAGCCTCTACGCCCGTATCAATTTGAACCCACCTACCTAACCCACCTCATAATTTCCGAGCGGACATGATCGAAGACATTAGGCAGAATTGGTAAAAAATTTTATGTAAAGCAAATTACCTTAGATTAAAAAATTTGATGTTACAAATATAACAAAAACATTCTATAACATAAATACAATGATACTAACAATAACAACTAATGTAAGATTGTTAAATGTGCAAATAAATGCAATAAATGCAAAGTTGAAAAAGTTATTTTATTGTTTCTGTAAAAATATAGTACCTATATTAAAATTATTTTATGTCAATTTATTATTTTTATTAAAAACTATGATATTGATCCGCCAGCAAAGCTACCTTCCGTAAAGCTACCTTCTCGGGAAGATACATTAACTATTTCTCAAACCACCCACACAAATATAAGACTAATATTATTAATAACTTGACTGACCGAGCGGTCTTACTCTCTGACGACAGTTTCCATGACGCAAATTTAAAACTTGTAAAAGAAATATTGACTAATAATTGCTTCCCAACGCATGTCATAGACAAACATATAAAGTGCAGACTGAAACAATTAAGAAACCAAAAGGACAATCAAACCAAAGAAACTTCGTTTGACCCCAGACAAGTTGTCACCATACCTTACATAAAACACTTAAGCGATAATATTAGTCGCACATTTAAGAAGTGTGGCATTCAGACAATCTTCACTGTCCCCAAAAAACTTAATAATATAATAAAAAAAGGGAAAGACAGACTACCCAACAAGAAACAAACTGAATTGATCTACAAAATCAATTGCGTTGATTGTGATGCGTGTTATATAGGACAAACTAAGCGACACCTTGATACCCGAATTAAAGAACACCTCAGCGACATAAAGAAACATGACAATGACCACTCAGTGGTCAGCAAACACCGTACCACACTTGGACACGAATTTCAGTGGTCCGACCCCCAAATACTTCATAAAGAGAGAAATTTAAGAAAAAGAGAGGTTGCTGAAATGTTCTTTATAAAAAGACACAGCTCTACGATCAATTACCAAAGGGATACCGAAAGTTTGCCAGGGGTATACGAAAAAATCATTGACATCACCTAGGACGCGATTTATATGTTTACCTATTTATTTTTAATCGGAGTGTTATATTTATTATATTATTTTGAAACGCGCTGAACTATAGGTTCCCTGACATAGCGACGACTACTTAATTTTAGTCGTATTTCCACAGCGCTAGGATGACAACTGCTCAGAGTGAGACAAGCTCCGCGCTTTACTAATTTAAATGTACGTAACGAAATAGCCTGTTTATTCTTTTATCAGTTCCTTATTTATTTAGTTAATTTATTCATCTCCACGTGTTAATTTGTAATTATTTATTTAGTATTTTAATTGTAAGTCCAATGAGAATCAAACTTGTAAGACAACCTTCGTATAAAACCGTTACCCTACGTCTTTTTGTTTATACAGTGGTGCCCGATGGCATTTAACCACATGCTATGCGCCGTTTGAATTGATTGCACTTGATAAGGGCCAAAACCCATGGCCGAAACGTTGTGCGAATAAAGGAAGTTTTCCTGTTGCCAGTGGTGTCGATTAATTCACCCTTCAATTTATTATTTTTATCCCGACAGCGTCTACTATTTGAATATGATCAAAAATTGTAATTTTGTATTATGTGATTGTAATAAAATGAGCTTGTTAATTAAGATTTAACAAATATTGTTGTCAATAATTAAATAAAGAGAAAATAATATAAAAATTCAACAAACTTTTTAAGTCTGTTTGTGATTTATACAACAGATGTCCATAATATTCTGTAGATGTTGCATTTATGTTAAGAAAGATTTCTTCTGTACTAGAATCGCTGTTATAGAATGTTGATAAAAACGATACTGATATTGCCGGCGTTGTCGTTTCTAATATTTTTTACTATAATTGATAACATTTTTTCTCGTCAAGTTTAATAAAAATATATGTACTTTATCTTTTAAAATATTTATAAGATACTATTCAGCTTACAATTAGATAAAAAATTTTAATTAAGAGTCACATGTTGAAAAATAAGTAATTGTATACAAAAATTTAATTACTATGTAAACTAGCAAACATTATTTTCTTACCTACATGTGTGTGTATTTCTTACCTACATGTATGCACTTATTGTATGTATCTATGCATATGTATTTTACTTTTTCTATTTTTATTATAATTCTCTTCGGCTTCTAGAAACGTAATAAAATCGTTTAAAAATATTATAGATATTTTGGAATACATTGTAATATATTTATTACAATATATATATATATATATATCTATTTTATATAGTTATTTGAAAATCGCGTTCTTTTTTTTATTTTATGACAAATTATCATAATATTTGTGTGATAGATCTTATCATATAAATTTTACATGTAGGCAATTATACATTCTCTTTTATAGATCCAACTCGTACGCATATAAGTGCACAAAATTATTTATAAATTAAAAATTATTTAACATTTTATAACTAATGGACACACCAACATCAGAAAGGGAAGAGCGAAACCCATCAATATAGAAAATAAGACCTTGCTCTCGTTGTGAAAGTAATGTCGGGCCTATTACGAGAAGCTTACGTCCTCTCACTTTCTGCATACACGCACAATGAGCTGTTGGCGAATTACAACAAATGGGATTTAACACAAAGATATAAAGACAAATCATAATGACCTGCCAAGTTCTAATGTTAGCTATGATTAATGGAAACGCGCAGCATTCTCATGCCAAAAATGCAACTCAAACATTTCTCTTCATTCACAGTAAAAATCACTCAAAGTATTTTCTTTAATGATTTATAACTTTATTCTAATTTAAGGTACTTAAAATTTAGTTTGTGTCGATTAAATTAATCAATGAGCCATTAAAGTCAAATGAGAAAGCAAGTACACAATAAAAATATATTCGATAATAATATAAAAGAATAGGAAAGAATAAAATTACAATAATGCGAGCGTTTCGTACCTCTTCTTCAGGTTCATCTTCAGCGCAATTAATAACACCACGAAAGTAGACAGATAAGTTACAATAGTATATAACTGCTCCTGTAGTCAAAATTACAAAAGTAAACTAATTCTAAAACATAGTGCGGTTAGGGAGAGAATTCGATCGGTGTATAAATTGGTCAGAATTAAAAAAAACAATAAAATTGATAAAATTGAAAAACGTGAATGTGCTTGAGTAAAATTGACATTTTAACGCCGATTTTCCGGTTGGAAAGCCAGAAAGATAGACGTAATAATATAAAAAATAGAACAGTAATCTGTAGGCTAAGAAACCATTAGAAACAAAAAAGTGACAACTAATATTTTTGATTTTATTACGTACAGGTATATCCTTCCGGCTTCCCAACTGACATTAAGATGTCAATTTTACTCAAGCACATTGACGCTTTTCAATTTTATCTATTTTACTGTTTTTTAATTGCGACCAATTTATACACCGACCAAATTCTCTCTCTAACCGCACTATGTTGTAGAATTATTCTACTTTTGTAATTTTAACTACAGACAGTTATGTACTCTATTGTAACTTATCTGACTACTTTCAAGACGAACTTGAAGAAGAGGTTCGAAATGTTCGTATTATTGTAATTTTATTCTGTCCTATTTTTTTATTTTATTGTCAAATATATTTTTAGCGCACTTGCTCTCTCATTTGACTCTAATGGCCTTTTTATTTAGATTATAATATATTATATATTTATATTACATATATTTATATTTATGTATATTATATATAAAAATTGCTTTAAAAAATGTTTATTTAAATAGTACAAAGTGTTTTATACAATTAAATCATATAATTAAAATTAAAATCCAATTAAATAGAACCGATTTATTAGAATCATTGCAGATGTCAAAATGCTTTAAACTTTGCAATTAATTAATATCTTAATTCAAAATGTGAATCACCCTCAGAAACGCATGTGGAGCAACAAGCGTACCAGGATATAATAATGTAAGATGCAGACCAGTCTCGACTAGTGTGAATCACGACGGTCGGCATGTGAAAGAATACGAATACTGAGATACAATAGACGACGGTAATGTTCTCCTGATGTGGAGCAGGATATCGTCGGAAGAATAAGATACTGTCAGAGAATGCTACTATCGCATATATTAGCAATAGTTACCTACCTATACGTGTTTAACGACAGGTTTCCAAATCTATCACGGCTTATCGTACTTTATAATCGATGGTAATCTTACCATTAGTTTCATGTCCCACATATGTAATCAGGTTCTCATTTGTGAGAACATTTTGTGAAATAAACAGGAATAAGCAAGTAGTCTTTGATTTATAAATGATGATGATACAAGAGATCTCTTCTCACGTTCTTTTCAATAATAAAGTTATTTAAGATGTATAAACCAGAAATATCACAAATAAAGAAAGCTGCATTGATTATTATATTTTTTTTACTACAAGTTGCATTCCTTAACTTGTCGCTTCTCGAACGTAGTAATCAAACATTTTTAGAAAACTAAAATAATCTCTTATATCAAGATGTAATTTTATATTATTAGCAATAGGTTTGACCAATTTAAGCGTTTATTTCAATCCATATGTCATTCAATTTTGCTTCCTATTGTTATTAATCAATACTTGTGTATGAGTTTCGTCCGCGACAATTATAATTATCGATAGCATTTAAATAAAACAGTTGTATAAGATGTACGCATTACACGTCGAGGCAAGATTTATAGCTACGATTTGGTTTAGTTAATCACAGCTCAACTATTCAGGTTGGATGAAAATCAGGTCGGAATACGTAACAGCATGTGGACCAAATATCTCGTTTACCCTATCTGGTTGCCGCTCTTTTTCCGTCTAGCATCTCATAATTGCCGATCGCTGCCTCACCACAGTTTACAACACGTTTTGGAGTTTTATTTGAGACAACCGGTTCACTTACAATTAGATTCTTATCGATCAACGAGCGGATATGTATGTTTTGTTTCCTCTTATCCGGCGGGGAATGTGCGAGAGAAAGCTTCAATGAAGGAATCGTATGTGAAAGTGTTTGCGGTACGATCTGAAGGTATTGGCTGACTCTGCAAGATTTCGTGAATGTGTTATACAATGCGAATTAAATAGTTGAAGTGCGCGTGAAATGACCGTCGTATTACCTGACAGAGAGAAGGAATTTCTTAATAATTTCTTCAAGTTAACTGGTCGTATTCAATATAACATGATTGCAAATTA